GCACCATGGCAGCATGGGGTGTGTGGCAGAATTGCTGGGGGAAGGAGAATGTGTCTTACTGGAAAGACAGAGAACCCACAGCATTAAGATGCCCAGAAACCCTCACCAGGCCTCATATTTGTTTCTTTTTCTTTAAAAACCCTGCTGTTCTGTTTTGTAGCTTTTTGACTGAAATAAAGCTAGGAGGACCTCTAGAGGTGAAAGGATGCATGAAGCCAACCTAAGCCTAAAAAGGTTGTTGTTTTCCAAAATCATTACCACACGTGACAGAGCTGTACCCAGTTCTGCCGGTAACCAAGTAGGTGTGCATGTAACATGACAGCCTATCTGGAAACCCTGGCAGTTTTTAGTGCTCCATTAATCTCTGCCTTACTGGGTTGCATATCCCTGCACAATGCAGGGGAGAGCAAAATAATAAGATTGCAGCCGACCAGCAGGCCTTTGGGCAGCTCTAAGTGGCTTTTGTGACAACTGTTGGGTTACTGGGTTTTTTGCAAAGAATGCTGGAATAGTTGGAGAATAATCTGATCCAGAAAGAGGCCTATGGTGTGCTTGCTTGAAGAGATTGTATTACTCTTTCTTTTCTCTATCTGCATATTTTCTCTGTTAGTGTAGAAAACCAATAAAAATATTCTTTAGAAAAATTAAAGAGAAGATGAGCATGCTCTCTTTCTTTTAAAAACGTGGACTAAATGGAAAGCACATGTTACATCAGCCTTGTGAAGTAGTCTGGTGTTCCTATACTAGTATTGCTCGGGTGGGTGGGGGAGAGGGAGAAGGAGAAGGAGAGAAAGAGATTTGGGCTTATGATGCTATCAGGATAGTCACATGCACAATCCTGCTTTCAATATTATTTGCCCCTGTAAAAGTTAGGGGGAGGTCACACAGCTTCATTACCAATCAGTGCCTGTCCCATAACATCCTACTGAAATCCCAAGTTCAGACAATGTTTTCTGCCTACAATCTACAGCCGTTCAGTTTGACAGAGTGACCCTGGGATCTAATATTATAAGTGGGAGGGGGAAACCACACCATGCATATATTTTGCAAACCTCAGAAATGACCCCCCATGCCTTAAAAAGGTAAAGGTAAAGGGACCCCTTGCCATTAGGTCCAGTTGTGGCCGACTCTGGGGTTGCGGCGCTCATCTCGCTTTACTGCCCGAGGTAGCCGGCATACAGCTTCCAGGTCATGTGGCCAGCATGACTAAGTCGCTTCTGGCGAACCAGAGCAGTGCACGGAAACGCCGTTTACCTTCCCGCCGCAGTGGTACCTATTTATCTACTTGCACTTTGAGGTGCTTTCGAACTGCTAGGTTGGCAAGAGCAGGGACCAAGCAACAAGAGCTCACCCCATCGCAGGGATTCGAACTGCCGACCTTCTGATCGGTGAGTCCTAGGCTCTGTGGTTTAACCCACAGCGCCACCTGCGTCCCTCAACCCCCATTTCTTAGTTACCTTTATATTCATACTGAAGTTCAAAGAAATTGGTGAGTATGAAAGACTTATTCATTATGATTCTTTGATACTCAGGGATCTAAAAAGCCTACGACTACTAACCAAAGCAGAGTTATTTGGGAATAAGCACTGCTGAACATAGTGGGGATTTGCTTCGGGGGGGGGACATGTGTAGGATTGTGGTTTATCTTTCCTGGAGGGTTTTAATTTGAAAAATCTACTCTCTGGCACATGAGCAACCAAACAATATAGACCCCGTGGCTTTTATTAAAGCAGATGGCATGGCAAGCTGCTGGCAGTAACCCGCAGAGAGGAATAGGAAGAGCTGCTTTCAGAACCAAAATGCACCACCGACTCATATTATCTGCCCCTTTATAATGCCTCTGGTGGCATGTAAATTGACAGGGCTTTGGCAGGACGTTGGGTGACTGCTTGAAATTGAAAGTGGAATTTTACAGCTGCATCAGAAAAGTTGAAAACAAAGAGAGAGACTTCTCCAGAGTAACTCTGAGTCAACAAAGGAGATCAGGAATAATATGGACATAATATTTGATAAAGGAATAAAGGAGCAATGGATGAAAATTAAAAACCTCACACAGGAAAAAGAAAGGAGAACTTCAAACTAAAGAGGCTTCTTTAAAAACTGTTTTTTACTGAGTTCCTTCCTTTCTACTTTGAGAAGCTTTATTCTTTTAAAAGGTTACCTATGATAATGTATGAAATATATTAGCTTAAATATATTGGTTTAAATGTAACTATGCAAAGGATTTAGAAAGTAACAAATTTAGATGTTAGATTCTTATTTCATAGAATCATAGAGTCCTAGAGTTGGAATAGACCACAGGGGCCATTGAGCCCAGCCCCCTGCCAGACAAGAAGACGCCATCCAAGCAGTCTTGATATATAGCTGTCAGACATTTGTTTAGAAACCTTCAAATGAAGTAGATCTTTCAATGTTGATGTGAAACTCAAGATCCTTGACATATGTTTAAGATAAAAATTTAAGATTAACCATTTGTTTTAGAAGGCAATAGGGCAAGGAGGGCAAGAGGTGAGCTGGTAATTAAGATTCCATGTAAGATATATTATTACTTATTTGTCATTTATATATAGCTCTTTGTCTCCCTTATAAGGATAGAAGGAAATGGGTGTATCTATTGTGATTGGTTATAGCAATCAGCCAATAGGAAATCCAACCAGGCTGATTGGACAGAGGCAGCCCAAGGAGGAGCAAAGGGGGCTGGATTAAGGGAATATAAGTGCTGGCCATAATGGCAGGAGGCCAGGCCAGAGCTTGGTAACCATATACCACTGTGCCTCTCATTTATTTGTCTGACAAATAAATTATTATTTTAATTTCTCTATTGCTGCGTTGAATATTTCATTCCAGCTAAGCGTTAACCACAAGCAGGGTGCTACAATTTGAGAATTTACAAATTACTATATGTGTTAATGCAAATTGAAGTTAATCACTGTAGCTGTGGTATAAGGGATTTTATCCAGAATGGATTGTATTTGGTTTGAGCAATAGTCAGGAGTCAGAATTAAAGGGAATCAGACCCTGAAGTACAGCACGTGGGAAGCCATACAAACTTTATAATTGATATGTAATTTGATTTGTATCTGAATTGGTATTGTTATTTGGTATTAATATAACTTGGCGCATATTGGATTTTTGTAATTGAAAATTAATAAAAATTATTTAACCCCCCAAAAATAAAAAATGGCAGCTCATTGGCTTGCCTTGCTCCACCAAAGGACCATATCCTCAGCACACAGGAACAGAAAAGGGGCCTAGGTTGAGAAGAGAGCAGTGAATTATATACATAGGCAATTAAAATCTAAAGTGTAATACAACCACTGGAGGTCAGCATAAACCTAATGAAGACCCGTGTATGAAATCTACAAAGGGGAACTCCTCACCTGCCTTGGCCAAAGACTCGTCAGGATGCAACAGAGAAAAATGCAGGATGTAGAGGCAGTTGCACATAGCAAAAGGGAGGAATGAGTTTTCCAACAGAAGAGAAGCAGAGGCTGCTGCAGATCTTGGGGAAGGAGTACAAGAACTAGAAGTGCGGGGATTCAAACCACCGACCTTCTGATCAGCAAGACCAAGAGGCTCAGTGGTTTAGACCACAGCGTCACCCACGTCCATTGTGGTTTGAATCCCCACGACGCCATGAGGTCCCTTTGCTCTGTCCCAGCTCCTGCTAACCTAGCTGTTCGAAAGCATGCAAGTAGATAAATAGGTACCACTGCAGCGGGAAGGTAAACAGCATTTCCGTGTGCTCTGGTTTCTGTCACGGTGTCACGTTGCACCAGAAGCGGTTTAGTCATGCTGGCCACATGACCCGGAAAGCTGTCTGTGGACAAATGCTGGTTCCCTCAGCCTGAAAAGCAAAATGAGCACCGCAACCCCATCGTCGCCTTTGACTGGACTTAACCGCCCAGGGGTCCTTTACCTGTTGTTGTTTTTTTACCTTTACTTCTGAATACTTACATGTTGCTGCCCTGCTATCGACACTCTAGACATCTGTGTCTGGGGAGCACAGCCTAGGCATGGATAGCTTGAATAGATCAGAACTGCACCAATCGTAAAACAAAATCCAAGACTCACACGGCGCAATCTGGGCCAACGCATGCTTATTCCTTACACACTTATGCATGAGCTCGCTTGCCCATCAAACTGACAGGTAAAGCAATCCAATGCAGCCCATAGCTGTCGTCAGTACAAGACAGAAGCATATGAGGGAATGAAAAATGAAGAGATGTTATGCATGTCCTGCTGCCTTCCAAACAACAAGGGTAAAGGTAAAGGGACCCCTGATCATTAGGTCCAGTCGTGGCCGACTCTTGGGTTGCGGCACTCATCTCCCTTTATTGGCTGAGCTCCTGGGTCATGTGGCCAGCATGACTAAGCTGCTTCTGGCGAACCAGAGCAGCGCATAGAAATGCCGTTTACCTTCCCACCAGAGTGGTATCTATTTATCTACTTGCACTTTGACGTGCTTTTGAACTGCTAGGTTGGCAGGAGCAGGGACCGAGCAACGGGAGATCACCCCGTCGCGGGGATTTGAACTGCCGACCTTCTGTTCGGCAAGTCCTAGGTTCTGTGGTTTAAACCACAGCGCCACCTGCGTCTCCTCGAACGGCAAAAACCTCCCTTAAACAATGTATCCTTGATAACCTCAAATTGTGACATAGCAAAATAAAATGTTTCCCTTTTGCCTTTTATTTAGCAACACAAAACACATTAGTGCAGTGGTTCCCAACCTTTTTGGGGCCATGCCCCACCTAAAATCCTGACACACACACCCCGGTGACATATATTTTTTATTATTCAAAAAGTGTACTCCTATTCATGTGGAGGAAGCCTAAAAGGCCATTAACTGTTAATAACTCATTCTCAAATTGCCCCCCCCTCAAAAATCAAATTGCCCCCCTGTGGGGCATGTGCCCTGCACTGGGAACCACAGCATTAGAGGAAACAACAGGCTCAGGCAAATGGACGAAGCACAGATGGTAGGCACCTGCCTATAATATTTAGTATTTATTGCTCTGAAAAGTAACAAAGAGAATACTGTCATTTAAAAGGGAATAGCAGTTTGGGGCATTGGTTAAAATCACTTGCAAAGTAAATCAAAATTACATATTAGTCCTATTGATGTGTTTTCCTACCCTTTCTATTGGAAAAAAGGTGTTTAGGAAAAAGAGACTTTCTGTTTTCCCCTAAAATCTACAACAGGAAAGGCGGAAGATCTTCTTTTGCTCAGCGCTTCTGTACTTGCTTTCTTTAACTGTCCTGGTTGACCACTTTACAGACTTCTATTCACAGAAGAAATCGATGGCCTGAGAAAGAGAACATGTTGTTGTTGTTGTTTGGGTTCACTGTTATAGTTTTTAAACACAGTAAGCAATTAGAGCCAATTCTGAACAAAGGGAGTTGTGGAAAACCAGTTGCTTTGAAAACATGATGCGTTGGGTCCAGACAGCCACGCTCCTTGTTGAGGCCCAACTGAACTCAAGAGTTACTTCAGCTGCTCTCCTCCAAACATGACTGACTAGATTCAATCCAGAGTGGATCTACACAGATATAAACACTGTGAAAATGCTTTTTTAAAAACGTAATATATATATGGGATTTGCCATTAGCTCATCAGCCCCATCTAGTGTCATATTTAGTGCCACACATCTAGAGTCACACTGAAAATGCACTTAAAACATTATATTTGCAGCTGTATAGCTGAGTCCCCAGTGTCTTCTAGGACCACCTCTGACTTGTCTTTTTGAAAAGCAAATGTCCCATGTTTCTTGCAAAGTTGCATACAAGAGCAATGTTGCATTTCAGGAAATACTAAGACCCAGTCTCACTTCTGTATTTGGTTAGCACAAGCTGCAGTAGCCTCAGGGATGGAGGCTGTTCTGGCAGCTTTTAGGATTTTGTTGCGTTTCCTGCCTCTTCGCCCCACAAAAAGCCTCTGATGCTGTATTCTCCATGACAGGAGCTGGGTTCCCCCTTAAAACCTGAAGTCAAGGTAGTTGAAGAACATCTCCATCTTCACCTTCCCCAATGAGAAGGCCTCTAGAATAGTGCCTGCGTAGAGCCCAGGTGGCTAGTTTGCCACCTCAGTGAGAACTAAGCCAAAGTTACGTTTAGGAAAGAAACTTGTAGTGCTTTCAGAACTCAAATAAGGAGAAAAACAAACAAGGAAAGTCAATGTCCCTCTGTGAAGGAAACCAATAACTCAGAAGGTGAGACTGTAAAACACAGCGCAATCAGGAAAAAGCAATTGGAAGCAGTCTCACCAAACAAGCACAGAGCATACCTTGTGCCCAGAGGAGTGTTGTTCTCAGAGTACACGAGGCCAGAACCAAATCAATAAGAAACATCTTGCAGAGGCTTATTCAGTAATTTCAAGGATGCAAAATTTTCACTCAAGTTACCTTAGGAGAAGGTATGAGGTCACCAATTATGGGGTCACCAATATTCAGCAACTGCGGAAGCTTCGGCCACAAACCATCAAAGCATTTGTGTAGCAACATTTGCATAGCTTGCTCATTTCTTACCTTCGTGGAAACTGTCTCGTTTGCTTCCTGATAGATGTGCTGCTCTGTGACTAAATTCCTGGGGAAATATCCAACAGTGCCCATCTGGTCTCGTACTGCTGTGCATAAACCTTACGGGTTAGATCAAACAAGCCTGGAGTTAAGCGCCACCATTCTTCAGAGTAAATGAATTTGCTGCTCTGTTGGAAGCATGAGCTACCCCAGTCACCCTGTACACTCTTTGAGATTATTTCGGTCAGCATAAGATACTAACAAAACAGATTTGTTCTTGTTGTTGTTTACCAAAAGGCACATATAAGTAATTGCATTTCCAAGAATGAGACCAAGAAAAATGTGAGATCATACAGATTTTAATTCCTCTTCTGTAGACTTGACTAATCATATTCTTAAAAGCCTTATTTCCTTAAACTGGGATTTCTTGAAAAGGTTTGCCCTGGACAATACCCAACTCCATTTCAAAGGGTTTCTGGGCAAGAGGTTCTCTGGTGGGTCGCATTCTGTTGACAATGGAGCCTGGTGGATTAACTGGTGCTGAGGCATTTTGAAGTAGTGCTCCGTAGCTGGGTCTAGCCATGAGTTAAATTTCCCACAATGCTCCAGAATGACAATACAGTGGTGCCTCACAAGACGAAATTAATCCGTTCCGCGATTCTCTTCGTCTAGCGGTTTTTTCGTCTTGCAAAGCAACCCCATTAGCGGCTAAGCGGATTAGCGCTATTAGCGGTTTAGCGGCTCAGCGGCTATTAAAGGCTTAGCGGCTTAGCTGCTAAAAGGCTATTAGCGGCTTAGTGGCTTAGAAAAAGGGGGGAAGCGGGGGGGGGGAAATGGCGAGACTCGCAAGACATTTTCATCTTGCGAAGCAAGCCCATAGGGAAATTCGTCTTGCGAAGCGCATCGCAAACGGAAAACCCTTTCGTCTAGCGGGTTTTCCGTCTTGCGAGGCATTCGTCATGCGGGGCACCACTGTACATCAAGACAGTGCTATTTTTCAGTGGGGAGGGGAGAGAGATGCCAGAACTCACCAAGAACGCTTCCTTGATCTCTTATAATGGCAATGGCACCCACCTGAGAGGTGCCAGAATTCAGTTTCAGAGAGTTCAGACTAAAAATTTTAAAAAGCCCAGCAGCAGAGGCCATTTTTTTGGACTCATCAAACTGGTCTCACTTTGAATTCCAAATCAGTTTTTTGAGGGAGGCTCAGCTGTCATGGTAATGTGTACTGACACTGGCCTTGCCCTGGACATTTCAATAAATACTGGAAATATTCCAGTGTTTCACTAGAACCTAGTGGCTTTGTGCAAAAGCAGGTCTAACATACATAGCACAGACCCAAAGAATAGCTTGAAGGCGTGGCGGGCGGGGGGGTGGACCTTTGCTGAAGACAAAGTCCAGGCCTGGCTAATACCTGAGTGCTTGAAAACTGCCCCCCAAGCAGCACTGCCAAACACTGTTCCTGCAAAGTTTTCCCTACACACACACCCCACTTGAGGATCAAGGAAAGCCTTTGGAATGAGGCAAGGGACAATACGGGACAATATTCCCAAAAGTGCCATCTTCTGAGAGTGAAAATGTCTTTCTTCTCAAGCCAGGCAGCTGTGAATCCAATACCCCTTTGTATGCTTGCTTTGAATTCCAAAACAAAATAAAGGTGAGGCATACATGTAACATATAAATGTATTTTTAAAGTTTTCATAAGGTATTTCTTCAGTCCACTTTAGAGACCTTCCCCAACCCTTCTTATTTTTACTTTGGCACAAATCTCATTCTCTCTCTCTCTCTCTCTCTCTTTTAAGAAGGCTGAGTGTTTCTAACACCCCTCCCCATGAAGTGCTGAGGGAGGGAAGGGAACAGATGCTTCTGGACATACAGGTAAGCTTGTGAGAATATCGCCTTGCCCTGTCCAAGGAGAGGTGGGGCAGGGGTTTCTCTTAAAACTGTGGATACTGGGGAGTAAATAGCCATGCAGACATAAGATGTGATTTAATATAGGGAAGGTCCTTACACTCCCAGCCCAGAATTCTCCAGCTCCTCTTTCTGGCACTAGCTTTGAGTAAACGTAGATCAGTTGCCCCTTTCTGACGTTAATAAATCGGCAGTCTGGCGCGTTGTAATCGTCTTCCGCCCTTGCCAGGGAGATGGCATCTGGGGGTGGGGAAAAAACACCAGTAAGATTTTATACAGAATTAAAGGACTGGGTGGTAAGAAGAGGAAATCCTCGTTAATTTTACAAAGGCAATCATAGAAGCATCCCTTTCCACATTCACAGTTCATCTCCTGGGAAGTCTGCAAAAGCAGACTTTATATACCACTCTTTTTCACCAGGGAGCTCAAGGTGGTGTACAGTGGTACCTCAGGTTAAGAACTTAATTCGTTCTAGAGGTCCATTCTTAACCTGAAACTGTTCTTAACCTGAAGTATCACTTTAGCTAATGGGGCCTCCCGCTGCCGCTGCGCCGCTGCTGCATGATTTTTGTTCTCATCTTGAAGCAAAGTTCTTAACCCGGGGTACTATTTCTGGGTTAGCAGAGTCTGTAACCTGAAGCGTCTGTAACCCGAGGTACCACTGTACATGTTTTTGCCCGTTCCCATTTTATCCTCACAACAACCCTGGAAAGCAGGTAAGGTTATGCCAGCCCAAGTTCACCCAGTGAACATGGGGGCTTAGTCGAAATTTGAACTCTGGTCTTCAAATCCCAGTCCTACCCTCTAACCGCTACACCAATATATATTTATGAAAAATATATCCATAAATTTAAAGTTATGCCTGGGATATGGCAAACCACAGAGGGATTCATTCATGCAAGAGTTCACATTTTCAGCACACAGTTTCACAAACGGGTGACTTACATAAGCACTCCTGATCGGCACACAGCTTCTTGCTTGCCAGCTTGTCCATAAAAATTCCCTTCGCGACCATCGGGAAAGTGAATCCAAGAAACAGCAGAAACATCAGCATGCTAACAGTGTGAGGCATTTTCTTCTCTCCCAGGCACCTCCTTCTCACTCCCTTACATAAAAGGAACAGGTTAAGGAACAGCTCTCTATTATATATGTATAAAAAAAACCATTAAGATGCAATTTTGGAGGGTGGGGATGAGAAGCTCTCTGACCAATAGGAAGTTGTGAGGGCAACATTCCATCGCTTTTAAAGAGCAGGGGAACTTCAGGGGGACCCTTTTGCTTTATTTTACTTTTAAGTCAAGCTCAACATCACATTCAGCAGATTTTGTGCAAGGATGAAAAACAACAGATCCCCATTAATTATACAGGTTTCCAATCTTACGGGCTGGTTTAAAGTGTAGCAGAAACACAAAGAATCCTATGTTGGGCATGGGCTGGGGAGGAAGTGCCAGAGGAACTTTGCCAACAAAAACCAGACCGATTCCAGTGCAAAGAGACAAGCCATCTTCCCCCATCAGGAGCTTATGAGCCACAGATGATGGATTTTTCGGACCTAGCCAACCTAACCAGAAGAGTCCGCGACCAGAAGGAGGAGGAGTATCAGGAAGAATGGACTAAATTTAATGATTAGTTAAATATGTCAAGTTAAATTAATTGGAAACAGCTTGCAGATACCTAATTGCCTTAGGATTTTATAAAAGTTAAGTGATGAATTTATATGTTTAATTTCAAAATGAAAAGATCTAAGGATGTTAATGTTTAAGTTAAACTTTATAAGAACTGTTATTTGGAAAACCATTAAAAGGATATGCATTGAAATTCAACCAAGGGGAAGCGAGGAAGTCACTTAAAAATGTTAATAAGTGTAATTTCTAATAAGGTTATGATTTGTGTTTGTTTGTTTTATGTGTTTGTTTGTTTATAATTTTGTGAAAACCAATAAAAAAAAATGGGGGGGAGGAGCTTATGAGCCACATCGGCAGTAATGCAGCTCATAGGAGTGGGATGCGATTTCAGTCATCAAGTTGTGGGTTTATATGTAGATGCTTGCTTTTGATCCCCATTCCATGAGCCAGTTGCTATCTCAAAGGGTTATATTTGAAGTTTGCAGCAACGTATGGCCTCACAAAGCACCTGAAGAATACAGATGACTGAGCTACTATATGGTATTTGAGTGTCAAATGTAAGGCCATTACAAATTATCACATCCTATTGTGACTGGTTTCATGACCCTCCAGAATAGCAAGGAAGGCAGGACATAAGGGCTGAAAGGAGAAGAAGTAGGAATTTATTCCCCTTTTTCTGACAAGCAGAAGGGACGCGGGTGGCGCTGTGGTCTAAACCACAGAGCCTAGGACTTGCCGATCAGAAGGTTGGCGGTTCGAATCCCAGCAATGGGGTGAACTTCCATTGTTCGGTCCCAGCTCCTGCCCACCTAGCAGTTCGAAAGCACGTCAAAAGTGCAAGTAGATAAATAGGTACCACTTCGGCGGGAAGGTAAACAGCGTTTCCATGCACTGTTCTCCAGAAGCAGCATGGTCATGCTGGCCACATGATCCGGAAGCTGTCTGCGGACAAACGGCGGCTACCTCGGCCTATACAGAGAGAAGAGCGCCACAACCCCAGAGTCGTCCACAACTGGACCTAACCACCTTTACCTTTTCTGACAAGCAAGAGCCACCTCCATTTAGAAACTGAGACATTCAGTGGGGTACGAATTATGAAAACAAACAAAATGAATCAAAATCCTTTCCAGAAAGTCTCATATCTCTTTTCAGCCAGCATTGGCCCCCAAATCAGTTTGTAATGAATCTGCAAAAAGGTGTAATGTATTGAATGGTCCCGGAAGACCCTTAGTGTCGTGTTGCATCAAGCCTCCTCTCATTTCAACAGTATCTGAAAGTATATCTTCTTTCTATAGGCTTTTAATGTTTAAATCTGCTGTTTCCTCTGGCTTGACCTTAACTGCATCACATGTCATGAATTGCTGCCTTCTATTTGTTTGGTTCAAGTGTGTTTTGTTTCTGTTTTGTGTTGTCATCTGCTCAGATTACAAATGTAGAAGAGTGGGATACAGGTATGTGATTATTTCTTTACGAGTTTATGGCAAACTTCTGCTCCTTGGCAGTAAATGTTATCGTACAAAGGGCTTCCCAGGGACATCTGGAGTTGCAGGTGGACCTGGCTAAGAAGTAGGTGGCAGAACAGAAAAGCAGCCCTTCCCTGAATTTAGGGGAGCTCGTGATGACCAACACCCATTCTACACAAGTTATTTAACTATATTCAAGGCTAAGAACCAGATGTGCTTAGTATAAGCCTAGAGTTTCCACTGACCCCAACCACCCAGGGTCACTCTAAATTAAAAGCTGGGTATCCAAGAACACAACATCAAGCAGAGACGAATACAAACACAATGCTTTGGAGCATCAATGGCGCTGAATTCAGACAGAATCAGTATTTCAGTGACCATATTATTGAATAGGGAGTTTAGCATTCAAACCCGTTTGACACCCCCCTGCTATGTAGACTTCTTATATTACATTCTGCAGATAATGGGTTCATTTAAAATGAAACTATCATGCTCACATTCAGTTCACCGTGTGGCTTGTTCAGATTCTGGGGAAACATGTGGATAGCAGCTCCCTATTACTGCAGGGGCTTAGTGATACCAACTGCATATTTCAGGTGGACACTGTATACATATGGACACCTGCAAATCACCTGGGAGATACCCCCTTCCCCAATAGTGATGCTAAGACTACTGAAGTCAGTGACTACTGATGAATGTATTTCCTTATTTACATCTTTATGGTAAAATACTGGTCCAATTTTGGATGCAGTCATACCTTGGTTGTTGAACGCCCTGGAACTCGGACGTTTTGGCTCCTGAACGCCACAAACCCAAAAGTGATTGTTCCACTTTGCAAACGTTCTTTTGGAAACCGAACGTCTGACGGGGCTTCCACGGCTTCTGATTGGCTACAGGTGCTTCCTGCAGCCAATCAGAAGCTGCTATTTGGTTTTTGAACGTTTTGGAAGTTGAACAGACTTCTGGAACGGATTCCGTTCCGACTTCCAAGGTATGACTATTTATCCAATACATCTTTCCAAATAATCTATACTGCATTGTCTACTCTAGACAGATCCCATCCCTGACAGTATTATTTTCACAAGCAGCTCATCCAAGATTGTTGACAACTCTTTCAAAATACAGAACAGCCTCTCAGTTATCTGTATCTTCAGCAGGACATCTGGAGTTGTATCTAAGGAAGATATCCCATTGGCACAAGGGAGCACTCCCTCAATCTCCCTTGTGCCCCTTACTCCAAATCTGTTTTTAGGGTTCCCCCAGCCCTCCAGAGCAGGTTTTGGGGTAGTGAAAGAACTAATGGAATGAGCATGTATTTCAAATCATTAGCATTTCCAAGTACATTTCCAGTCCCTAGCAAGTTGGCAAGAACTATTGCTTTTGATGAAACACAAGTACACCTTAGATTACTGTTTCAAGAGAGAAAATGCACCTTTATTTCTGAACAGGTAACTTTACTGTGAAGGAGCCCCTCCAGTCACAGTATACAAAATGGACTTATGTACAACAACCAAATTTTACAGCTTCCAGCTTTTCAGCTGGCATTCCTTGAATGTGTTTAGAATCTTTACATACTTGTGCTGGCTAACTCCCAACAATGCCATACCAGATGTTTTCCTTAAATTCAAGGAACCACACTTCAGTCAATCCAAATTACCCTACAGCATGTAGGGGGAAAGAAAAACCAAACTAAGCAAGTCCTTCAGGGATCCTAGTTTCCTTCCATCACTTCTTGGCATAAGTGATTTTCATTGCGTGCGAAGGGGTAATTTTGAATCCTTGGAGGGCGTCGCGAGCGGCTCCAGCCTGCCCATCATTTTCAAACTCCACAAATGCGATGTCGTGTCTGCCGGGCACCAGGCGCACTTCTTTGAAACCAGGGAACCTTGAGAGATAAAAATTTAAACAAGATGACATGTTTTAATTTTGCAGGTTACAGGGCTGTTCTTATTCTCCAACCAAAAAAAGTTTATAAAATTGAAATTCACTGTTGAAAATAAAGCTGAAATAAAGCTATAGGCTGAATTTGCCAAGTAAAACATACCAAGGATGCCAGGAACATATTTGTAACACAATGAAAAACCGAGCAGCTGAAATGCAGGAATTACAGACTTCAGACAATTTTGTTCATTTTATGAAGCCCACCTCGTGCCAAACTATTTTTCAGTTAATTTCCATTCAACAGATACGATTCCCAGAATGGATTTGTTCTTCTGTTTCCAAACCTTCTCCTACAGAGCTAATTCAGCACAATCTCTATCCAGCCTTGACAAAGCATAAATTACTAGAATGACTAACTTAGAAGTCACATGATGTACACTTACCCAAGTATACAATGTATGGGTATTTATGTTTTGCCAAATATTTCTATACCTTAAATGCAACGTATTTCACATTAAACTGTAAAAATCGCAGTCTGCATGGCTACTGTTTCTAAAACTTATGTTGAGTCAGACTATAAACACAGACATCCTGCACTTAATCCGAGACAGGTTAAAAGCCATGTTTGATATTGTCTTTCCTTGTCCCTCAAACATGGCTCATTACCAGCATCCCAGTTTTATTTTTAGAAATCCATTGGCTATTCTGCCTTTCTTACTCATAAATATAAATTTAAATCAGCAGCTAATCCAAGAGGCAGCATGAAAGTTGCATGAACAGCCACTTCCTTGTTATTTGAAATGTCTTTGCCACCAGAGGCCAAAAACCTGAATTCATTCAGCTTGAACATAAGTAAATAGGCCAATTCTTAAGTCACATCTGACAATAACAATGAGTTTTTGTTCTATGAGTACATATAAATGGCAGCTTGAAAGAAGGAGGTGGGTTTCTAAAGAGTCTTGGATCTCCATAGCCCTCCATAGCCTGCACTGAAGGCTCCATTATCTCAGCCCATCCAAACTGCAAAAACATAGTTGCATAGAACCAGACATCATTCTTTGAGTTCAGATGGTGAAATCTATTGCAAATGACAGAAGGTCCACATATCTCACCACTGGGTTCTTAACAGCCCAATCCTGTGCAGTTTACTACAAAAAAATCCACCAATTTTGTTGATAGTCTCAAATGCAGGTGTAAAGGATTGTAGAACTATGTATATATATGTATCTAGATGAACTTACTGATTGAACAGCATTGACAACATCATTTCATTGGTCTCTTCTGGCAAGTTGTTGAGGAAAAGTATGTAGTTCGGTGGATTATCAGGCACCTGTAAAGGAAGCAGCAAATAATGTGCTATGGTATGCCAAAACCACATTTGCTTTAATATTTATAAATGTTAACAATAGCTATTTTGGCATAACTCATTGACGTTAACCCAAGAAGCTGCCAATTCTTCTTCTGACATAAGAGAATTGGGGTAGACGTAAACAACTTCAAGTTGTTTGTTTGTTTCTGCACTTCACAGGTTTTTAGGTTAGCTAAGCAGTCTAATACAATCAGGTGGCTATTCTGAGCATTTTTAGTTAAGAATACATCTAGATAGTGTACTCCACAACATCTCTCCTGCAAAATGTCCAGGTAGTTGGCACTTCAGGCATTCAACAGCTGTCAGCCCAGTAGTACCTTTAAAAACAAAACCTTCACATACCAAGTATTCAGTTTGTGGTGTGCTATCATCTCTGTTATCCTAATAAGGACTTGGCACAATTAGAATGATAGGATTAAATTACAGATTTTGGACACTGTTTTTTATACAACAATAAATGGAGGTACAGTTATATATTTACAGTCCCTCTAAGCAAATACTAGCGGATAACACTTAACAACGGCTAATTAATCATTTACAGAAGTTGGTCATATATAAATAAAGCATGTTGCTTCCAAAATGCATATATCTGTATACAAATACTTCCAGTGCAAAGAATGTTAAGGATTACCTGTTGATTCTGCGAGTTTGCTTGGGAATTTGCTGAATTCTGGTTTGCTCCCTATTGAGAAATAAAAAGTTTTTTTTTTTTTTAATTATGCTTTGAGACCTGAAGTCACTTTTAAAAACCCACTTATATTATGATTTACCCTAAAGAGTTGCTAGAGGCTCATTTTTTAAATAGAAAAAATTATTTACATGGGCTTATGTTTTTAAGAGTTAAAGGGACCCCTGACCGTTAAGTCTAGTCGCGGACGACTCTGGAGTTGTGGCGCTCAAGGCCGAGGGAGCCTTGCCACTTGTGGTTTTGCCAACAGTTGCTGGTAGCAAACACACACACACACACACACACACACACACACACACAGAGCTGCCTCCTAATTCACCAGCACATACAAGTGACTTTGCCCTCCTATTCCCTCCCCACAACTCCACAGTCTTGTTTTTTTGCCAAAAAAAAAAAAGATGGACAGGATAGCTGGAAGGAAATATAAAATGCTCAAAGACAAACAAATCCAAACAGGTCTGCAAAGTAAGCAAAAGTACTGGATTCCTCAAATAATTTTCTTCTCACGATAACAGTGCCCATAATACCCAAGCAGAACAAATCTGGGAGATTTTTTATCCTACATGTGGCAGCAATATCACCTGGTAGGTAAAATATTCTTAGCTCAAAGGGGATCAGTAATTTTGCTAGGGAAAAGTACATTTTTTGTTAACTGCTAATCGCATAAAGCTAGTAAAAAACCAACTGTCAGACTCAATTTCACAATCATGTTTCTGTTTCCTCAGAAACAAGTCCAGCTGATCTTACTCTCAGGTTAAGCAACTGTTGATTTTTATCTGTATTGTTTTGAAACTGAGGCTTAACTCAGCTTACATAATATATAGTTCTGTTCTACATGTCTCCCAACACAAGTGCTTATTCTTTGACTGACGGCAATGAGATCTGGACAAACTCACTTACCTGATTTGGCTTCTTTGCAGCATTAGCAGACTGTTCCAAGGACTTGATCTTCTTCTTCTCTTTCCTTTTCTCTTTATCAGCAAACGTACCACGCATTTTAGAAATCACATCGGAATCCGTTTTTGCATACTGGATGCGCTGTTGAAATTAGAATGTTGCATTAAGCATCAAAGCTGTAAATCTGAGCCTGATATTTTGGAACAGACAAGGAATAAAGGGGAGTGGGTTGAAGGTCACAGAGTATCCAGCTAATGAACTGTTTGAAAAGCTAAGGCAGTGTTATGTATTGCATGCCACCCTAGCCAGAAACAAGGTACATCTCCAAACAAAACATTGGATATGGTCCAGGGTAGGGAAGAACATCCACAAAATACTTGGTTTTCACAATGCATTTGTATCAACATGGAATCCATAAAGATTTTAAAAAGACATACTAAAAATAGGATTTTCATACAGAAGATTCAGGTCTTTAGTCATGTTTTAAGAACAGTCCCCTTAAGACATTTACTTCTGTTCAATTATTGGACATTTTCCAAAGTTGTTTACCCATAAATATATTTGGAATGAGTTGATCGAGGTGTTCCTAACACACTTCACTGGCTGTATTTTAATCAAAAGAGAGCTTTTGACAGTTACATTAAATTAGCAGTCTTATAACAAGGAACTGAAACTTATTTACAGAAGAAACCTAAATATGCTTACTTAAAAGTCTTACTGATCAATGATTTTACTCCCTAGTAAGTGCTTTTAGGATTGCAGCTAAGAGAAAGCTTAAAATTATTTGTTTGCCTATAGTTGGTATGGTGCGTTTCCAATGAAGGGCCTTGTTATGATCTGACAGGATAGAATTTCATAATAATAATAATAATAATAATAATAATAATAATAATAATAATAATACTTTATTATTAATACCCCGCCCTCCCCGGCCAAAACAGGACTCAGAGCGGCTAACATCAGATGTATAACACATTAACATAAAATCAGAAAATAAATTAAAATACACCCTAAAATCAGTTCAGGATCAGAATAAAATCCAATCAGATGGCAACCTGCAGATTAGAGTTGGGGACCTTAAATGCTCACCAGGCCCAACTGTTTGTGCTGAACTTATATGGGCCTGTGAGAAAAAGTGGGAGGCCACTTTCATGCAAGTTCTTATGAAAGGGGGGTGGAGTCAGACTAAACCCAGACCAAAGGCTTGGCGGAACAGCTCCGTCTTGCAGGCCCTGCAGAAAGATGTCAAATCCCACAGGGCCCTGGTCTCTTGTGACAGAGTGTTCCACCAGGCCGGGGCCGGGGCCAAAAAGGCCTTGGCCCTGGTCGAGGCCAGTGTAATCTCCTTGAGGCTCAGGACCTCCCAAATGTTACTATTTGCAGACCTCCAAAATGTTATTATTTGAGGACCGTAAGGTCCTCCGTGGGGCATACCAGGAGAGGCGGTCCCGTAGGTACGAGTGTCCTAGGCCGTAGAGGGCAGGATTCAACTAATGAGTCCTGCCAGCAGAAGCCCTGAACAAGAACGTCCACTTGTGCAATGCAGCTTCCCCACTCTCCACTCCCTTAAACAGGCTCACGGGGAGGAGTCAGAGAACCACTGGAACAGTGCAGAGAGGCAAAAGAGAGAGGAACATCCCATCTGACAAGCCAAATCACTTGCCCTGAGAGAATGATCAGCATAGCGGGGTGCTGAATTCCTCCCTTTAGTGTTTAAAGAGTCTAGTGAACAGACCAAAAACTTTAAATATACTACCTATTGCTCTAGGCAGAGAAACCACAAGATCCCCAGCCACATTGTTCTCTTATCATGTTTTGCAGTAAAATATAAAACTCACCATTGGTTTACCATAAAATGGAAAGCCTTGCAACTGTCTCAGGGCATTGGTGGAGGAGCCAAGTTCTTTAAATATAACGAAGGCCTGTCCTCTCATCTTCATCGTCTTTAGAGCCACAATGTCCACTACGTGGCCAAACTGAGAAAACAGTGCATACAGAGATCTCTTCAGTTCTGTTAAGGGAAGGAAGAAAAGGAGAATTATACTTGTATCTACCTGCTTCTAAGACACCACAGCATCTTCAAGGTCAGGGCAATCACTCCAAGAGACAGCACATGACTTGGGCAGGGAAGCCAGCCAAGTTTCTCACTCCAAAATCAGAAAAGTCTCACAATGCAACATGCCAAAAATATTATAAAAGGTAAAGGTACCCCTGCCCGTACGGGCCAGTCTTGACAGACTCTGGGGTTGTGCGCCCATCTCACTCAAGAGGCCGGGAGCCAGCGCTGTCCGCAGACACTTCCGGGTCACGTGGCCAGCGTGACAAGCTGCATCTGGCGAGCCAGCGCAGCACACGGAACGCCGTTTACCTTCCCGCCAGTAAGCGGTCCCTATTTATCTACTTGCACCCAGGGGTGCTTTCGAACTGCTAGGTTGGCAGGCGCTGGGACCGAGCAACGGGAGCGCACCCTGCCACGGGGATTCGAACCGCCGACCATGCGATCGGCAAGTCCTAGGCGCTGAGGTTTTACCCACAGCGCCATCATCACCTCTCTTACCCATTGTTTGCTGAAATGTTAACTGCTCCCAGCCAATTCCCCTCATGAGAAATTTTTGTGCCATCACTAGGTATTTCAAAACATTGATAACAATTTACCACTCTGGAGAAAATGGCTAACAAATCATTTATATTTGAATGCTCTTCCCCCCTCTCTGTGCATTATTAACATTCTCCAGAAAAGCTGAGTTACAATTTAAAATTTACCAAAGACCAATCCTCTCTCATGGTGGAGAAGTGAGGGCATGAAGCAGCATACTTCCTACAAAAACTTTCTGTTTCTTGACTAAGCGTTCAGAATAAGGAATAATTTATTTTCATACCTTCCTTTTTAATTTTGTCATTAACATTATTGATATACAGTGTGTGGTTTGGTCGGATATCCATCTTTTAATTTCCGTCAAACTGACCTGGAAAAAAAACACACCAAGAATTTATTTAGCATACTTTCTATAAAAACCAAAACCCTGAAAGCAGCTTACATTGAGTTATCTGATTTTATCCTTGCAATCACAATGTGAGAGAGGTGTACCTGAGATATAGTGACTGGCCCAAGCCTACCCAGACAGCTTTGTGGCTGCGCAGGGACTGGAAGCCAGGTCTCCCCAGTCCAAGTCCCAACGCTCTAGCCACTAAATGATGAGGGCTCTGTACAACAAAATACAGCATATTTAAAATTAAAGATCATAGCTGACTTTTCAGACTACAACATTTAATTTTAAAAAGAATTAGTGGACAATGCTAGCTATTTCTGCTCAACACTGTCCTAGTTTACAGGGTTGGCGAAAGCACCACAAATTGTATCATACTAATTTACATTACTTCTGGTAGCCAAATTGAGCACCATTTGGTGGAAAGGCAGGATGCAAAGTTAACAAAACAAACATGCATTAACTGGCTGCAGCTGCTGCTCAAAAGCCTGTTTGTTGTTGTTTAGTCGTTTAGTCGTGTCCGACTCTTCGTGACCCCATGGACCAGAGCACGCCAGGCACCTCTGTCCTCCACTACTTCCCGCAGTTTGGTCAGACTCATGCTGGTAGCTTCAAGAACACTGTCCAACCATCTCGTCCTCTGTCGCCCCCTTCTCCTTGTGCCCTCCATCTTTCCCAGCATCAGTGTCTTCTCCAGGGAGTCTTCTCTTCTCATGAGGTGGCCAAAGTACTGGAGCCTCAGCTTCACGATCTGTCCTTCCAGTGAGCACTCAGGGCTGATTTCCTTAAGAATGGATGCGTTTGATCTTCTTGCAGTCCATGGGACTCTCAAGTCTCCTCCAGCACCATAATTCAAAAGCATCAATTCTTCGGCGATCAGCCTTCTTGATGGTCCAGCTCTCACTTCCATACATCACTACTGGGAAAACCATGGCTTTAACTATACGGACCTTTGTTGGCAAGGTGACGTCTCTACTTCTCAAGATGCTGTCTAGGCCTGTCATTGCCCTTCTCCCAAGAAGGAGGCGTCTTTTAATTTCGTGGCTGCTGTCACCATCTGCCCAAGAAAGTAAAATCTCTCACTGCCTCCATTTCTTCCCCTTCTATTTGCCAGGAGGTGATGGGACCAGTGGCCATGATCTTCGTTTTTTTGATGTTGAGCTTCAGACCATATTTTGCGCTCTCCTCTTTCACCCTCATTAAAAGGTGTACATAACTTTATTTTTATTGGCAGCATGTGCACCCACACGAGTTTTTAGCTCAGATGCCAAATCCCTCCTGGCCTAGCTCCCTCTGCATAAAATAAAATAAAAAACCAGCAAGGGGCTAAGAGAAAACTGGATGTGGCACTGCTTTCAGGTGTTATTGGGTTGTTGTTTTTATTTTGATTATGTATATTGTAGTTTTTATGTTGATCTTTGCTGTGAACTGCCCTGAGACGTCTGGGTATAGGGCAATATATAAATTCAATAAATAATAATAATGATGCTTTAGGTGGCTACAGGGGCAGGATTTGGCTACACCGACTAGGCTGGCGAGAAGGGTATATACACGTGTGTGTGTGTGTGTGTGTGGATACCTTGTAAGATTTTACTATATCGCCCTATTTTCCTCTCTTCCACCGCCCCCCCCCCGAAAACACTGAGCCCAAAGCTGAAGCGGGACTCACAAAGGCCTCCCTCTCCCTTGAAGCTGGATAATACAGTGGTACCTCGGGTTGAGTACTTAATTCGTTCCGGAGGTCCGTTCTTAACCTGAAACTGTTCTTAACCTGAAGCACCATTTTAGCTAATGGGGCCTCCCGCTGCCGCCGCGCCACCGCCATGCGATTTCTGTTCTCATCCTGAAGCAAAGTTCTTAACCCGAGGTAATATTTCTGGGTTAGCGGAGTCTGTAACCTGAAGCGTATGTAACCTGAAGCGTATGTAACCCGAGGTACCACTGTATTACAAAGAGGAGCCAGGTAGATGAGGGAAAAGGCATGGGGAGAGCATGCATGTGGGTGGATGCAAGTAGGGGACCCCCACACTGCCACCCCCTTTTGTGCTTCTCGCACAAAACCTCCCTTGGAGGCTTCTAAGCAGAAGCCGGATCGGCCACCTGTAGCCCTAGCCGAGATTCCTGCATTGCAGCGGGCTGGACTAGATGGCCCTGGGGGGTCCCTTCTATGAGGAGGTTAAAGAGCCCGATGGTGCCGCCGTTAACCACCCACGGAAAGCGTAGGGAACCCAATAACTCCCCCACCCCTCCCCTCTTTCGCTCTGCCTGTACCGTCTCGATGCCTCAAACCGCCTCCTCCAGCGCGCCACCACCCGACATGCCTCCTTTTCTTCCTTCCCTTCCGTTTCCGGCCAGAGGTGAGGTGCACTTCCGCTCTTCCCTCTCGGCCCTCGGTGAAGCTTTCCCTTATAGCGTGCAACCGCCACTGAGGGGGAACGTTTTTCCAGAGAGGTGAGCGGGGATGGGGGGAAGAAAACCTGTAACGCATGCAGCTTGAACTTCCGGTTGAAAAAACAACATCCGGAAACCCATCATTGGCCGTAGGTCCATATGGGCTCCGTTGTAGGGCCGCTCTGCGCCTCCTCGTATCTATGGTAAAGCATTGGGAAGTTCCATCCCAGACCGCGAAGCGCTGTAAAAGGAAGTTGGCGACGCTCTAGCCATCCCCCTTTATCGTCTCTTTAGAATTTGCCTTCTTCGCTCGAGGCCGCTCAATCAATGCCAGGACGGCTGATTCGGGACGAGTTTTTCGGCTATCGATTGGTTCATTACCGCTTTGCGAGCGCAGCTGATACAACGATACAGACACGTGTGGTTCACGGGGGTGTTTTTTACTGCTGCTACGTCTTGGGGTGTTTTTTTGGTAAGAAAGGTGCCTCTGAGCACGTACAGAGAGCCCCTCTGAACTGCTACCAGCAGCCATTCAGATTTAAAGAGGCAAAGCACTTCCTTTTAGAAATAATTCGTTGCACGTGGAAGAGAAAATGATATAATAATAATGATAATGATAATAATAATAATAATTTATTTATACCCCGTCCGTCTGGCTGGGTTTCCCCAGCCACTCTGGGCAGCTTCCAACCGAATATTAAAAACAATACAGACCAGAAACCTCAATAAATTATACCTCCACAACTACAAGCCCCTGTGGCGACAAATTAACAAAGACCTAAAGAGATGGAATAACATGAACCTCACTCTCTCAGACAAAATAGCCATGATCAAAATGACCACACTCCCAAAACTAACCTACCTATTCCAAACCCTCCCAATCTGGATCCCCTCAACCCAACTTCACAGTTGGCAGAGAAAACTACACTCTTTCATCTTCTCACATAAAAAACCAAGAATAAGCCCCAAATACCTGCACCTCCCCACCTCAGAAGGAGGATGGGGAATCCCCAACATAGAAGCATATTACACTGCCAACCAAATACGCCATATAATCCCATATATACTAGAAGATGAGACAAAACAATGGGTACACCTAGAGAGGGACACAATTGAAAACACCTGCACCACAACATACCCACTCCTCCCAGACAAACTAAGGAAAATTCCCACAACACTTAACAGGTACACACAGACCATGCTCAAAGCATGGAAAACACAAATAGGCAAACTATCCCCAACCCCATCCCCACTAATCCCCCTGGCGTACCACCCATTATTCCACCATGCAGCACAAAACCTCCAGATAAAAACCTGGCGAACCAAAGGCTTATATCGCCTAATAGACTTCTATAAAAACAACAAACCCTTGTCAACACAAGAAATACAAGACAAACTAGAAGACACCCAAATGCCCTGGTTAACACAACACCAACTACATGCCCTCTTAAACAACCCAACAGTAAAATCAGCAGCAACTAGGCCCCTGACAACCTTCGAAAACCTCCTCCTAACAACAAAGGGAAACGGTAAAGGGATGGTATCCGCAATATACAAAATACTGCTCCAAAATCCCGCAAATCCGCTAGACGCAATCAAAAAACAATGGGAGAATGACATAGGCTATGAGATTAACCCCACTCAATGGACCAGAATGTGGTCTAAACCCCCCTTTAAATCCATATCAACGAAAAGAAAAGAACTCACACTGAAACTCACCTACAGGTGGTACCTAACACCAAGGAAACTAGCGCTAATACACCCAGGAACCTCACCAAAATGCTGGAGAGGGTGCACCTCCACAGGCACATACTTCCACATGTGGTGGGAGTGTCCCAAAATCCAACTATTCTGGACAACAGCCATACAAGAAATTTGTAAAATAACTAAGCAAGTAATAGACACCACCCCAGAATTGGCCCTACTAAACATCTTCCAAGACAACAATGCCCATTTACACCACAAAGAACTCATAACCCACCTGCTCTCAGCAGCCAGAAACACCATAACCAGACACTGGAGAGACCTGTCAGGAGTAAGCATGGACCAATGGTATCAAATAGTATGGGAAACAGCCCTACTAGAAAAATTAACTAATAAACTGAAACTGACACGGGGACAAACAGAAGAAGATGCCTTCACCCCGGTATGGCTCCCCTTTATCACACACACAGCCCAACAGGACAATGACAATAATCCACCAACAGCATACAAATCAATATGGCTAACCTGATCCAAAACACCCACCCACCTCACTCACACACGAAAACAAAAGATCACCACAGCCAATCACAAGCAAACAATCACACCCTAGGCCAACCCCAACCTCTCTCACCACCAAAGGAACACAAGTGAACAACACAAGCACGCTGACACCAAACTCTACATACATTAAACATAATAGAAACACCGCCACCCAATCCCACCCTTATCCATCTTCCCCCTCTCCACCCCCCTTTCTTTTTTCTCTCCTTTTTTATTTTTTATTTTTATTTTCTTCTCCCCCTAATGCCTCAACAAATGAAACGGATTTGTAAAAATGTTACATGGGGAAAAATATATATGAGGCACTACACTTCTGTAAAACAAGAAAATCCTTAATAAAATATTTTTTAAAAAAAAAATACAGCATCAGACATTAAAAACTTACCTAAACAGGGCCGCCTTCAGTTGCCTTTTAAAAGTAAAATAGTTGCTTACTGCCTTGACATCTGCTGGGAGGGTGTTCCACAGGGCAGGCGCCACTATCGATGGTACTGAACACCGAGTAAATGGGCAAAAAATTAGTTTTTGTAAAATATGCTGGGATTTATGATATGCAAAATGAACCATGGAAAGAGAAGAACAGAATTCATTTATATTTTAATGATGTTTAAATGAGTATTTTAAATTGTAAAACAGAAAATGTAATAAAAATTATATACATCAGGGCAAAAAAGGAAAAGACAATTTGCAAAAATGTCTAAATCCAAATCGAAGTGTTGGAAATTTAAAGAGAAAGAAGGTTCTTTTTATCATATGTGGTGGTCTTGTAGCAAGGTTAAAGCTTACTGGGAAATTATATATAATGAATGAGAAAAGATGTTTAAAATAATGTTTATTAAAAACAACAACCCCAGAAGCTTTCCTTTTGGGAATTTCAGGGACAGACCTACCCAAACTGTATACAGTGGTGCCCCGCAAGACGAATGCCTCGCAAGACGAAAAACCCGCTAGACGGAAGGTTTTCCGTTTTTGAGTTGCTTCGCAAGACGATTTTCCCTATGGACTTGCTTGGCAAGACGAAAACGTCTTGCGAGTCTTGCGATTTTTTTCGCTCCCCCCCTTTTTCTAAGCCGCTAAGCCGCTAAGCCTTTTAGCCGCTAATCCGCTAAGCTTTTAATAGCCGCTAAACCGCTAATAGCGCTAATCGGGTTGCTTCGCAAGACGAAAAAACCGCTAGACGAAGAGACTTGCGGAACGGATTATTTTTGTCTTGCGAGGCACCACTGTACAAATTTATTCATGTATATGACTACAGCGGCAAGAATGTTATCCCAAAATGGAAAGTAGTAGTAGTCCTGGCAAAAGAAGAATGGATACAAAAACGTATGGAATATGCAGAAATGGCAAAACGTACCAGAAAAATAAGAAATGAGGATATTAAACTTTTTATAAAAGAATGAAAATGGTTTATTGAATATTTACAAATAAACTGTAAACAGATAAGGAGATTGGCAGGATTATTGTAATAACCTGCAGTTTTATAAGTGTATACTGTATATTTAAAGTAGATGAAAAAATTAGCAAATTAAGTTAATTTAGATATGCAGAAGATATTAAAAATAAATTTAAGGAACTGCAGAAAGAGGGGGAAAGAAGTCAAGTTTTGAAATGTTAAAATGATTGTAAAATTATTGCAATGTATAAAATAGAAAATCGTATATATATATATATATATATATATATATATATATATGCTTTCGTAGATTTTCACGGGTACAGGAATGCAGGTTTTGGTGTCCTCGGGTGTCTTCCCGTGTAGAAGTTGGGGTGTCTAGGCGACGTTTCGACGAGGTCTCACTCGTCATCTTCAGGCTGGTGCTTTCGGCTTCTTGTTACTGGAACAGAGCAGGATCTCAGTGTTTGAGTTCCTATAAATACTGTTGAGGGGGTGTGGTGTATAGCCTCCAATGTTCTGGGCAGAGAGGAAGTTCCCAGGCTAGTTCACAAAGTTCAAGAGTCAAGACACGAAGGCTTGAGCAACTAATCCACACCTAATGACCCACCTAAATGGTACTCAGAATATCACTCAAGAAATCACTCGAGATATCCCTCAAGTAATTAAGGAACAAAAGAAGAATAGGCACCACTAGCCTGGGAACTTCCTCTCTGCCCAGAACATTGGAGGCTATACACCACACCCCCTCAACAGTATTTATAGGAACTCAAACACTGAGATCCTGCTCTGTTCCAGTAACAAGAAGCCGAAAGCACCAGCCTGAAGATGACGAGTGAGACCTCGTCGAAACGTCGCCTAGACACCCCAACTTCTACACGGGAAGACACCCGAGGACACCAAAACCTGCATATATATATATATTTCCTAGCACGAATATGGTTAGAGCACTGCACCTGGCAAGACCGGGGTTCAAAACCCCACTTAACCATAATGCCAGTCACTGTCTCTCAGCCTAACATGGTGGTTGTGGGTATTGAATGAGGACGGGGAGAACCATGTTGAGTTCCCTGGAGGAAAATGTGTGATATAAATGCAATAAATCATCATCATTCTAGGAAAGAAGCTTGAGGAGACAATGGTAAAGGATTGGGCAGCAATTCTTATTCCAAAACACGAGGAGCAAACTGTTGACAGGCCATTTAAGGAACCCATCAATTTTATCATCATCATCATCATCATCATCATCCTTGTTTCAGGTTTTGGTGTGGTTACATTCTGTATGGTTTTTCAGTTACTGGACAAAGCCATCGTGGCAGCATGCAAAATAACACTACACATTCAAAGTGCATAGCTAACATACAAAGAGCCCTGGTGGTCCAGGCCAA